GATAAAGTAGATTTGCATCAACTGTTTGCTCCGCAACTTCTCCTCGCCGTAAAGCAGTCCCACGATCCATGATATCGAGCCAAAATGTAACCATCCGCCCAAACCACTTTTTCCAAAGTTGCTCCGTCCCGGGCCCTGCAGCAGGGTACCTCTGTGTGTCCTCTTTGATGTCCCGCATCAGCTTTGTCATGACAGCGACAACCTTGTGCTCCACAATCGCGTCAAGGAGCTCCACGCTCGGCTGGCTATAGGCATTGCATGTGACATACATAACATCCATTTGCTCGACCCGACTGGCAACGTTGTCGGGAGAGTCATCTGCAGCAAGGATGCAATGGCGGTAGATATCGGAGAAGGTGGATTCTCCCAGAACCGCAATGCTGACGGGGCTGCTTTTGGAGTGGTGGATGATCAGCCCTTGCATAGCTTTGTGCAGGAACAAGGCGCTGGACAGCGCAACGCGACGCGTCTCCTCCAATCGAGGAGACCTGAGGAATGTAGTTCGTAGCTCGACAAGAAACGGTATTGCGGCAAGAAGGATACGAACGTCCTCGCTAGTAGTAGTTGTAGGATAAATCAGCAATACTCCACCAGCTTGAGATATACTCACCGATCTGGCTTCCTACGCTCGAATGGCTGGAGCATGAGATTATACAGGGTATCCAGAGCCAGGTTCCGGTATCGTGAGAGCAGATTGTGTTCTACCTCTCCCTCAATTGGCTTGAAAAGCTTGCTTGCACGGTAAGCCTGGATCATCTGAACAGCATGCTTCTTCCACTCGCTGAGGGGAGCGATCGAGTAATCTGACCTCCAGCATCCTGTGAGTTCGGAAAGGTTGAATAGCGCAAAATACCACGTTTTTTCCTATTGAAGCCGTACAGCGTGCACAAGGGTAGCCGGTCAGGATGATGATGCCAGGTACCTCACAACGCTAGAAGCGCACACGACATACAGGAACTTCGTTAGAGGACTTGGGATCTATGTAGGGGCCCTCGAATGTAAGATGCGCAAACTTGTGTAAGATGTCCACAAGCTTCCCTACTACCCCAGCGTCGACCATTTTATGGAAATAGGCTTCACGTCTCTCTATAACATCGGAGTCTGTAGAGTCCTGCCAAGAGATGACCTGCCTCAGCCGCCTCCATAGTTCGTCAGCATCCGCCGTAAGCAAGTAAGGAGGTGGATGGGCGTTAGTCGCAAGCAGGACGCTCCGTAGGTCCCTGGCTGCCTGCTCCTTAGCATCGCGTTCCGTCAACGTAGACGTCATAGATGATATCCAAGTTCAGGACCAAAAATGAAGCCGATAAATTCTCCTTTGACAATGAGACACAATCCAGTGCGAGACAAGTGGAAAGTTCGAGAGTAGAACGGTAAGGCTTGCAGATGGATGCTCCGAGTCGTCACGCGATCCTGATTTGTGACAAGACGTTACGAACCACGATTTGCACCAGCCAGAGCTTGTTCGCTACACTTTTTCGCCATTGAATTGGAAGCGTTTCATCAAGGGGCCTGGCAGTATTTATTAGGACTGACCCCATACAGTCCCTCGGGCGCTTGTATTCGCTCAACTGTCTCTTGCCTAATGGCGACTGTTGTCGGCTGGATGATGAGCCTTCGTCATGCCTGGCGACGTCAAGGGCAAGGCTCGCTCCAACATGGAAAACTATCATTGATAGGTAATAGAATCGTTTCTGAGGCCACCGTATTGCGGACAAACTCCTGTACTCTCATCGAGTCTGTCGCTTGGCAAAATTTCTCTTCGTTGTACTTATTCTCGCATTCGAAATTATATGAGAGCGGTAAAGGGTGACATCGAGGAGCTGGAACAGTATATATCATATAGACAAGTCACCATCCACTTTCCGTTCGGTATATGTAGCCAGTTGGTCGATCATTTGGCATGGTTAAACATGGTGGCCAAGTATTTTATCCTTGAATGAGCTCAAGGCAGCCTGAGCATGACAATCCCTGCACGATCCACATCAATGTGCTTCTTCACCTCCTTGCTATCTTTGCTCCGAATCGCAGCGGCGACCAAAGCTGCAAGCGCCTCCTTGATGAGCGATTGTGCTCTTTCCTCAACGCCAACATCCTTGCCACCACCGCTCGTCCCGTTTCCATTGACATTCTTCTCCTTTATTTCGGGGAATTCGAACCTCTCCCAATCAGCACAGCAACCGACATATTCCATCAGCACATCCACGATGCCATCAAATTTGGCCCCTTCGACTGCTTCGATTTTATGAAGATGCTTCAATGTGAGAGTATCCCATGCCATGAGCGGGCAACCGTCCTTAGCGGGAACAACAATAGTTGGCGCCCCATTGAGGAGGCCGTACGAAATGACGGACTCGCCTGGACGAGCGGATGTAGCCCAAAGCTTGCGATGAGGGCTAATACCAACAAGGAGGATGGCGAGTCGGCGGAGCGGCGGGGAGGTAGGGGATGCGCCAATGACGGGAGGGTCGGTAGGAGGGTCAGTTGGCACGGGCTCGGCATCCGGAGACGGAGACGCCTGAGGGTCAGACGAAGGAGCAGAGTTGGGCTTATTCTCCTCCCCTGTAAGAAGCGGGGTAGACTTTGGCTGCGAGTGACCTATCCCGTGCAGCTTCTCCTGTCCTACTTTGAGATAGCTCCCAGCAGTGTCCTGGCCCTTTCGTAGGTAACTACTAAGCGTCTGACGATCTTTCCCCGTCGATTCTGAGACGTCTGCCGTGACTGATTCTGAAGTTGATTCGGGATCTATTGGAGCGGCTGGTGGCGGGACTGGCTCGGCAGGTTGTGCAAATGAGAGCACGAGAGCACTCTCGTGAACTAATTGTCGAGCGACTGCGTAGTCCGATTGGTGGAATGGTCCATGACAGAAAATCACATCTGGTTTCATGCTACGTGACGTGAATAAGTAGGATGCGGAGATCTCGGCGTGGCTGGGACTCGAACCTCCTCGGAATGCATGGTCTACGGCCCGATGCGTACAGAACTGGATTCCACCATCCCTTCTCGATGGATAAATAGTCACTGAGAGAAGAAAACAGCCCTTCCTTGGCATCCCCAGCATGGACCGAAGCTCGAAAGTATCCGAGTGCCGCGTCAAGTTGATTATGCTTATAAGGTGCTGTAATGAGTAGGGTCTTGACCCCAGTTGTTTCGAGTCTGTTTGAGTATACTGGAATAATGTGGTCCACTTGATCCCCGAGCAGATCATCAGCAACCTATTAGGGAGTTGTTTGTTGCTTGACATCTGTCTCAAAACATCCGTCTCTCACATTGTTGCTAAGCTCGAATCCTGCGTGAAGACCCATCTCGACGACAATGCTGCTTCCGATGGAAGAAGCAGCTGTCTCCATCAGGGGTGACATAGCGGGCGCGGCAATAGCTGCGGTCCCTCCCTATTGCGAGGGCTCAGTTTCGATACTTTTGGATGAGTAAACTGGACGAAGACCACTCACCGTCGCAGCCACCACAGTATGGAGGAGTATGTCCCGCCACATGATGCAGGGCAAGATCAGTGGAGAGGAATCTCCCCACTCGAAAATCATGTAATTCAGAATGCGGGATCGCTCCAGTGGATGTGGAAACTCACGACTGAGAGGCAAATGACGTTCGTTCCAGTCGCTTTGAGAGTTGCTAGGCTCGAGACCACGACTCGACCCATCATAGAGCCGACTTTAGCGTCGAAATAGTCTCAGAATTCATCCTATATGCGTTCCAATGCACTAGGGCTGACCTAATTTCCTGATTATCCATGGTGCTTGCTGGAAAGTGACGTCATTCAAGAGTGTTGGAGGTGCAAAGGCAAGCGAACAAGTGATGGATGATATAATAACCAGGCAGGTTTCGGCAGTGGATCCGAGACATGTAGGATATGTGTAAGTTCTCCCGCAGCAGGAATTCAATGATGGAATGTTACCCACTTCCTCTTTTTCATAATCAGGAAGGCTTGCAGGGTCGCTCGGTTTCAAAGGGGAGACAGAAGCCATAGTAACAACAGCTTAGGGGGCGTTTTGGGTTAGACTTGTAAGGAGTATGGAGGTCTGAGGAGGGGGATCGGGCTCAGGATCCACTGTTGCTGAGAATACATCTGAAGTTCGGTGGCATTTCCAGGAAACATACGTCATATCCTTCGTGACGTTTGCACGATTGAGTATCAACAGCTATCCTTGAAGAGCTACCGAATACTGTGGCGCGCTCCCATGCATGTATGAGAGACCTTTGCTAGTGTATCACAAGACGTTTCGCTCCACTTCTCTGGGATTAAACTGCTCAGAGATTGCTTATGTGGGAATAGAGTCCGATCAGTTGCATTTAATCTACATGAACGCAGCTCGAAAATGTGAGAGGCCCATGGTCAGAGGTTGTCTTATTCACATCGAGCAGTGCTCGGAACAGTTTGCCAGTTGGGCAGTCCTCTGATGTGGCCTTAAGGTCGTTGCTACGCCGTTCGACTCAGTAAAACATACACAAGCCCGAAAACTCTACCAAATAACGCCCTTGACACGCCTTCATGACAGAAAGTTGTGCGGGAGGGGGAAATGCGACAGTTTGGGAAGAAACGAGATGCGTTACATTGTGTGACGCACCGTGACGAAGTGGCAAATCATATCGACGTGCGCAGTGCCGAGCTTGTAGATATTACTACAAAATGCACACCAAATCAAAAATATTAACTTCATGAAGAGGTGGTGGACTTACGGCTTCCCCAGCGACTAGAATCCAGACAGCGCCCGTCACTCACACGGGGATTTTGTGCCATTCTGCGAGTCGGCTGCACCCATATCATACAACTTAATCAAACAGGCATTGCGACGAACTTGTTAGAAAATAAAAGAAACCATACAATCCAAATTTTTCTATTAAACATAGTCCTGAGCTTACTTCTGCCTCTCGCATTTGGCTCTGAACTGTGTTTGGGCTTGTTTGATAGCCACTGCGAGCTCTCCTGCTCGGGCACAGACACAAAACGCGTAGCAAAATGGTACAAAGATTGTATGTAAAAAGGATGATCCACGCCGGGATCGAACCGACAATCTCCTGATGTACGCTGACGAATCAAATCGTAGTCAGACGCCTTGCCATTGGGCCAGCGGACCGTGTTAGAATTAATTGCCCAAAAGGTTATACATCTATATATTACTCAGTTAATTTCATGTTCTATCTTAGCGTCTACATGGGTTGTTTTAAATGTTCTTCTGCCGTCTGGATACGAGTCATGAAACTCTCCAACCTTGTCACTGAACCCTGCATTCTGATCATGTAATCCCTTCCCTGGCGACCAGCAGTCATTTAATGAGGCATCATCCTGATCAGAAAATCCCATTACATGGTGGAAAAAGACACTTCGAATGATAACAGTACTAGCGTTTGTTACAACGGAATGAGCAGGGAGTGTTTGCTCTGGAGAAAGGAGACTATGAACCGGAGGTACGTTCGCCTAATGGCTGGCGTGGGCTATCAAGTCATGGTGACCATTTCTAGAAGAACACTATCAGCTCGATATTGTGACGGGGGGCATAGAGCGAGGATAGCAGAGTGTAGGGCTACGAACCTTCAGCAGAAGTCGGGTGGATAGCCACAGTGTTGTCAAAGTCCTCCTTGGTAGCTACACGTGGGGCGAAGAAGCGCAGATGAGTCAAGAGAAGACAAGAAACAGTCATTTAGATGCGAGCACTCACCGCCCATCTTGACCGCGACAGCGAAGCCCTGCAGAACCTCGTCTGATCCCATGCCAAAGATATGGACACCTACAACCTTCTCCTCGGGTCCAACGCAGACAAGTTTGTACATGGAAGGTTCCTTGTGCTCTGGCTCGTGGAAAGCAAAGTAGAGTGCGCGGAAGTTGGACTTGTCTGTAAAGGAGAACGAGAAGTTGAGTGGCAATTCGGGGAACGAAGGAAAAGGTGGGACAGTTCGAGAGGAGAGGGGGGAGGGGATTCCAGGACATGATGAGGGAGAGAATATAGGGATACGTACAAATCTTGATGGCATCATCGCCATACTTCTTCCTCGCCTCTGCCTCGGTGAGACCAACAGTACCGATGGGGGGATGCCTGTCAGGGGAAGTCAAGGGGTCGATTAGATGAACCAGAAGAAATAATGTAGGCAAAACCAGCGATCGTTTCGATCGACGGGGATGCAAAGTACAAGACACTCACGAAAAGACGACAGTGGGGATGTTTTCATAGTCAAGTTTCTGGCTCTTGTACTTCTCACCGCCGTAAAGCCTGTTGCCGAGCCTTCGACCAGCAGCAATGGCCACGGGAGTGAGAAGAGCTTCACCAGAGACATCGCCGAATGCAAAGATGTTGGGTACATTCGTGTTCTGGAACTCGTCGACGATGATGTCCCCGCTAGGCTTCGTCTTGACACCAGCATTCTCCAAGCCCACATTAGCAGTGTTCGCTTGACGACCCACGGCCCACACAAGCAGATCGACGGTAACGCTCTGGCCAGACTTGAAGTGCACAGTCACTGGACCGCCTTTCTTGCTGCCTTCGACCCGTGCGACATCTGTCTTCTTGTGCAGGTTGACGCCCGTGTGCTCCATCCAAGCAGTGAGCGAGTTCTGCAGGTCCGTATCGAACTTGCGGAGAACTTTCTCACCACGGATGAGCAGGTGCGTCTCGCTGCCGAGCGTGTGGAAGATACCCGCAAGCTCGACAGCAATGTAGCCTGCACCAACAACAGCGACGCTCTTGGGCTGGCTCTCCAGCGCAAAGAAGCCATCCGAATCGACACCAAGGTTTGCTCCTGGGACTTCCTCTTCGCTGGGAATAGTGGGTTTTCCGCCTACGGCGACAAAGATGTTCTTGGTGGGTAGAGTGTAGGTACTCCCATCCTGGCGCTTGACCTCGACTTCGTTGGGGGATTTGATCGTGGCCCATCCGACGTGGTATTCAACACCCTCTTTGTGGAAATTGTTTTCGTAAATGCCGTTCAGCTTCCGAATGTAAGCATCCCGCGCGGGCTTGAAGGTAGCCCAGTCAAATTTGGGGGATTTGAGTGCGGTCATTTGCTGAAAGCCGTATCCAGAAGCAGCTTGCATGCGCTCGGCAGCATCGGCAGCGTGCCACATGAGCTAGCGAAGAGAAGGAGGGGTGAGGATCGGCCAGGAGGATGAGATCGATGATTTGAGCATGGAACCCAGGGAAAGATTGAGCAAAGCATATCGAGAAATGAGTAGAAGCATCCAAATTAGGACAAAAACGATTGTGCGGGCGACATCACACGCAGTTGTGCAGCAGCAGGAACCAACCGCAGCAATCGAGCATTCAGCACAGCATCAGGGACAGCGGTCGTCCAGCACGATCATTCCGAGTGACCCAACCCAGCGGTGAGGCACGGACGAGGGAAATCGTCGGGCAGAAGGTGGGAGAGCGTAAGATAGGGGGATTGTTATATGAGATGTAGTGCATTAAGAGGTGATTGGGCCCAGATTGCCAGAGCCACCGATGTGCGACGAGTCAGTTAGATCGGCGCGCATGAAAAAGCAAAAACAAATTTGGGAATTAGACAACTGAAGAGAACGACACAGTTATATATTCACAATACCTTCTTGGGTACGCATCCAACGTTGACACATGTGCCGCCGAGAGCGCCGGTAAATTCTACCACAGCGACCTTCTTTCCATACTTAGCCACACGTCTCTATTCACCAAATGATATAAATCATGCAGAGATAGACGATGCCAACCGTGTTAGGAGGGATCGTAGGACAAATGCGGCATGTCAGTGAGAGTGTTGACGAGGGAGGCCCGCTGCTCGCCGCCCCCGATGATGGGGCCTCCTAACAGAAACAGTGTTAACTAACCGACGATGCCGACCCCGCAGAACCTCCTCCAATGACTACCACGTCGTATTCGCCCTCAGAAGCAGTTGTGACAGGTGCCATGGCCGTCGATACTGTCGATGTTAGGGATCTCGAGATCTGTCACACGCCCAAAGGACCCGAAAAAAAAACACCATAATCCAACGACAAACCAAACAAGAGTTTCAATAATTCACCGCATCATTTAGCGCCCAGCTTTGCTGCAGGATGGTTTGCCAAAAAGAATATGCGTACATTGTAAAGGCGCTGAGCAGGTATTGATCGCCCCAGGCTAGCCGTGGCAGAGCGCAGGGGAATGAGAGAGCGAAGTGACGCCAGTGTTGCGCTAGCCCCTCGGCCACTCCGGCTTATAAGTCTTGGGGGCTGAGTGAGCTGGGAAGCTCGAGTAAAAACGCGTCTCCGGAGTCAACAAATAAAGGCGATAATAATGGCGTCAGCGCCCGCGGCGATAAGTACACCTTAGTCACCTGGGCCTAAGGACGGCATGCGAATCCCAGACCCCCGAGAGCACACAGAGTTCTACGCGAGTTCCCATGTGCCCCATGATCAGTCATCGCTACAGGGTTTCACTATCAATCGATATCTGAGGGGATCACGCACACAGTTGCAAGAAGATTATATCAATTAGGCAATAGGACGAGAACACTGGCAACACGCGGGTTCGAGTAAGAGGCAAAAAAAGCAACTATTCGTGGCAGATCATGCTGAACTATAGTTATCTGATATAGGGTACGATGCTATGGTGAGAATGAATTGGACATTTTGGAGAGCAAGAACACATCCTGCCAGCCCAGTGCTTGCTCGAACCGGCGACTTGAAATGTCCATAGTGATGAAATGATGCTGGATGAATGAAAGGTACTATGCAAGATGAGAACGAATATGGAGATGAAGGATGAACAAGAAGCCGTAAATGAGATGGAAAGCACGCGCGAAGCACGATTGCGAGACCCGAGTCGCCAGAAACGCCACGACGACGAAGACGCAAGGGGCCGGGGGTGACTTCCTTTTTTTTTTTTTTGGTTATATGAGAACGAAAGCGAGAAGTGCAGCGTGACAGCAAGAAAGCAAGAAAGCAAGAAAGCGGGAAACCGGAAAAAAGGTAACCAGAAGCGACGGGAGCGACTCTTCAGAGGTACACTCCTGCGTACTTCTCCGGGTGGAGGGCACAGGGCCCTGGAGGGAGATCGGATGATGGAAAGAGTAATGACAAATAGTGAGTCAATAAGTCTGTTCAGTTCTCTGGCAGATCATCACCGAATCTCGACGCCCTCACTTCGAGATCGGGATACACTGATAAATGTTACTTACAAGTACCATTGTTAATATATCCTTCCCATACATCCGCGCTGGAGCTACAAGGAACAGACAGGACAGATGCCAAATATGAGCACAAGTACCGGCTACTAAAATTCGCTATTCGGGGCAACATAAACTTACCGGTAGAGGTCGATCAAGGCCCGTGCGTTCTCCAGCTAGAATGTTCCAGACCAGTCTCAGTAAGTTATTCAGTCCGTCCAAAAGAAAAAGAGAAAAGTTCCTGCAAGGAACACGCATTAGAGAAAATTAAGATCCGATGAAATGACTCACACTGTCCTGGCGCTGGACCGCGATCGAATGCTGCATGAAACGAAACACAAGGGTTGGAAGTCCTATCACCCTGTTCATCATTTTCAAGGCTTCGCGATAAGGAAGATAGAGTGCGGTATCGCGCGTGTCTAGAACAATCGAGATCGGTCGATGAGATGGATGCAGCAGGATGGGCACAGAGGTGGAAAGTCAGCTTGATAACCAAAGGGGGGAAGAATAGAGTTTGACAGGCAAGGCGGAAGAACTCGAAGGGGGAGGTAGAATTGAGATCGAGGTGCACCGAGGAACAGACGTGGTGGACGATCATCAATCAGCGTTATCTGAAGTGTGGCGAGCTACTCGGTACCAGGCTGATGGAGGCTCGAGGCCCTTTAGTGAGACTTCTCACTCAGCCCAATCAACGAACGGCGCGCGCCGAGCCGAGAGCCTCCCTGATTCTCTCGAACCAATGGGCCGCAGGAACGCAAGGACTCGGGGACAGTAGACCCAGGAACTCGGGCAGAGAAAAAATAGGCCAGTATAGAGAAAAGTAATGTTGTGCGTGAGGGAGTTACGTACCATACGCAGGATGACGCAACCCCATGACCTGTGAAATTTGATCAAACGAGATAGCGGCATGGTCAGCATGTGCAGCCATACAAAAGCGCTAGCAGGAAGGGAGGAGGGCTAGCCCCGG